GGAGGGAAAAAGAGGGAGAGAAACATCATGTGTGGTTGCCTCTCCTGCACCCTCTACTGGGAACCTGGCCTACAATCCAGGCACGTGCCTTGGCTGGGGATTGAACCAGCGACCCTTTTCTTCACAGTCTGGTGCTCAATACACTGAGTCACACCAGCTAGGGCAGTTTTTTCTTCTTCTTATTGGAGCATTTAAGCCACATACATTTAAAGTGAGAAGCCATGGTATTAAAAAATGTTAGTCAACACTGAAAATTTCACCACTACCAATGTTCATTGCTACGTTTTCACACAAAAGAATATCTTTAACAATTAGGTAGTGCTGGCACAGGATAAACACAAGAAGACGGCATATTTCCCCCCTGTATGTTGTTTCCTTCATTTATGTACAATACATAAATGTACAATTCTTCAGACAAATGATTAACTTAGTCTTCGTGCCTGCAGCTAAATCTTGAATTGGATGAGTGACTGTACTGTTGTACAGAGGCAGTGCTCAGGATTTCTCCCACTGGCTTTTCATCCAGCAGGAAGCGATGTCAATGGGCAAGGCTTCATTATCTCTCAGCTCTTGTGTGCACTTCTCTAGCTAATGCATCTGACAACTTACCCTGCAAGACACTTCAGTAACTTTTTCATTTCTACTTTGAAAAGCTTTAAGAAACATATTTTAGCTTTGAAAGAGCTCATCCTATATACATTTAAAATAAGCAGTTACTTTTTCTCTAAACTCCGAATGATTGATCTCAAAATGATGTTACAACCTACCTAGTGCTATAATACTATTCAAAATGTTCTGTTGCATAAGACATAATAAGATAAACTATTAATATCTACATAGTTGAGTGAAATATAGATTTCATCATCTTTTTGTTTCTTATCTAGTTTTGCACAGTTTCTTTGGGGTGTATTCCTCCTTTTCACTAGTCAGAAAACTCTCTGATATGTCAGTTTCATCTTTTTCAGTATTTTTAGACATAGATACTGCAGTTGTGGGTGGAGGAAGCAAGTCTTCTATCTTTCTTAATCTAGCGGTGAATCTTTGAATATAAAAAGAAAAAATATCATTAAATGATCTTATGTGTTAGAATAAAATATTATTAAATTTTAAAATACAATTTTTGATAAATCAAAATTTAGAAAAATTTTTGAAAACTATTAAAACAGTTATTGCAAAACAAGATAAAGTGTGCATATATCTTGTGTTTCCATGTAGAGACAAGGAAAACTTCAGAATTTCAAAATAACAGTTTATTGGACAATAATACTGAAATTATGGCAAGTCTAACTGAAGACAGCTAGAAAGAACACACTAGGAGTCTGAGAACAGAGTTAATCTCTTGAAAATGCACATATTTATACCATAAACCTACTTTTTTAGAACATTTTGGAAAACATAAGAAATATACACATTTCATACACATTTCATTAGCTGTCAGAGCAATGACATCATCACAAATCATGGAGTCTCTGGAAAACTCCACTGTACATTTGTGAGAGATTGAGGGTCAAAGTAAACAACATCTTAACTATCATTATGAAAGTAATTTTTACCTTAGAGACTCCTTGAAAGTATCCACCAAGAGTTCCCAGACCACACTTTGAGAACTGCTACGCTAGGATAATGTGTATTCTGTGAAATATTCTGCAGCTTTTAAAAACATGAAGTAGATCTATATGTACTATTATGTAACAAGCTGCAGAGCAATAGAAGTGTTTACAGTATAATACATATAAATACAGAAAACAAATTTACATAGTCTATACTTACATATATATGTAAATGCATAGAGAATTCTAGAAGAACACACGATTAATTGCAGCTAATTTTAAAAAAGGGATGTGGTTGCTGAATAATGGAGAACGTTTACTTCATTTGTATTTAAAAAAAATGGTTATAAGGAGATTGAATGCATGTATTACTGGTGTCATTTAAATAAATAGTTTGTCTTTATCTTTCTCCTGGGTGATGTGCAAAATTTATACAATTTTGATTTTTTTTTCAGATCGATTAATAAGCTACAGTTGTCACTGTTCTATGGAGAATAATCACCACTAGAGTAAAAGGGTACAAGTATGGTTGGTAGATAAAACAGAGGATATCCAAGTAAGTTTGAAGTTCAAATAAACCAGGAATAAGTTTTTTGGTATAAGTATATTCCAGGCAATATTTGGGACATAGACTAGAAAATTGCCATTTATGTGAAATTCAAATTTAGCAAAAACAAAACAAAACAAAACAAAAAAAACCCCAAAAACAAAACCCTGGGTTGCACAGATATTGGGGGCAAAGTCATAGTGTCAAGATGACTCTTCTGATAAATGCTTGTGCAGCGTGTCGAGGCTGCGAGATGTGGTGGTAGAACGGATGAGCAGGGAGTGAACTGAAGGGAGGTTATCAAATGTTGCAAGGGGAATTTTTGTTTTTGTTTTAAAACACACATAAGTCTTCCACAAAATATAGTCTTTGAAGTTAGGCTTGCGTAACTCTCCTGCAGGCCACCATGGGGCTGGTAACATTTTCTGTGCTTCTGGGCTCCAGCCAGGTCTCTGTCTTTTCTACTACATTAACCCACGCTACCAAAGGCCATGGCTGCTAAGGGGTTTCTTTGAGGAGGTAAAAGGTCATTGCCAGAACTTTCTTCCCCATCACCTCATTTCTTCCTCTCATGAGAATGTACATATACCACTTTCTTTATTTCTGTGTTCCCTACTTTTTGTCTTAAGTTTCACTATGTCACACTATGGTCAATATCTTTCTTAAATGTATCATACAAACCTTTAGGTTTTTCTCTTCTTTTCCTCTCTTTTTCAGATTTTGCCCATAGAGAAATCTCTCTTGCTTTTCTCACCTCCCCAGTTTGTGAAACAACCAACCAACCAACCAACTTTACAAACAACCAATCAAACAACTACTGAATCAACAGATTAAAGTATCTCTTAGTCTGCTCAGGCAGCTAAACCAATTTGCCATAGACTTGGTGGCTTAAACAACAAACATTTATTTCTTGCAGTTCTGGAAGCAGGAAGTCCAATGTTCAGGCACTGACAGATTTGGTGTCTGGTGAGGGCCAGCTTCCTGGCTCACAGACTGCCATCTTCTCGCTGTGTCCCCATATTGGCAGAAGGGGCAAGACACCTCTCTGGGATCTTTTTTATAAAAGCACTAATCCCATCTACGTGGACTTCACCCTCATGACCTAATCACCTCCCAAAAGCCCTGCTTTCAAATATCGTCACGGCAGGGGACGAGGCTAGTTTTCCATGGCATGAATTTTAGGGGGATACAAACATTCGATTTATAACATCACCCCAGAAACAAAGAGTGGAGAATGCTTCAAGCTGCTATAGAGGCCAAAGCAAAGTAATGCTGTGCTTCATGTCGATTGCAACTCTGTGAAGATAGCCCCTCGTTCTGTAGAACAACCAGTTTTGAATGATCTATGCCCAGGAGAGTCTGGGGAAGGGTCATCACTGGAGAAGAAAGGGATTGGGTTTAGGTCAGGATCCTGGGCTTTTAATTCTCATGGAGAAATCGTTTTTATTTCTTTTAAGACCTCAGACCTACTGGTATTTGCCCTTGGTTTGTCCTTTTTTTTTCCCTTTCTAAAATCAATTCTAATTAAGTATACTGTAGATACAATAAAATACACACAATTTAAATGTACAGTTCCTGGAATTTTGATGTGTGTGTGTGTGTGTGTGTGTGTGTGTATAATCTCCATCATCCCAGTCGAGATATATAACATTTCTATCACCCTAGAAAATACCTTTGTGCCCCTATGCTCAGACAACCATTGATCTGATTTCTACCACTATATAGTAGTCTTATCTATTCTACAACTTTATATAAACTGTACTTTTCTTTTGATTTTGCTTAGGCAGTTTTTTTCCATGCAGAAATTAAAGAGAAATATTGTAGTTTTTATGGTTTCATTTTTTACATTTAAATCTTTGATCCATCTGAAATTTATTTTGGTGTGTGGCAGGAAAGGCACAGATCTAATTTAATTTCTTTCCCCACAGAGAGCTGCCCAGTTGTCTCAGTATTATTTATTGATAAATCTATCTTTTTTTGGTCACTGATTTGAAATGCCACCTTTATCGTATATATTCTCAAGTGTGTTGTGTCCGTGTCTGAGTCTTCCCTTCTGTTCCTTTGATTTGTTTGTTCATGTTATCAGCACAACTGTTTTAATTGTGACTACATTGTTTAAAAAATTTTTGTATTTTAGGATTTTATGCTCTCTCGCTTCAATGAGCTAATTTTCTCTGAGGTTCTTGTTCTAGTTATCTGTTGCTGTATAACAAGTTACCCTAATACTTAGCAGCTTGAATGTTTATTATCTCACAGTTTCTGAGAGTCAGGAATGAGAACAGTGTAGCTGGAGGGTTCTGGCTTAGGCTGTCTCATGAGGCTGTGGCTCAGCTGTCAGCTGGGGCTAAGAGGTTTGCCTCCAAGCTCATTCACGTGATTGTTGGCAGGCACGTGAGTCTTGCCGTAGAGATACTCATAACATGGCAGCAGGAGTGATCCAAGAAAGAGACAGCAAGGGCCCAGGATGGAACACTCAGTTCTATATATCCTCACCTCAGAAGTGCCATACCATTCCTTCTGCCAACCCTGGTATGGTGTGGCAGGGGAACTGCACAAGGGTTTGAAGGCCAGCTCACTGGGATCACAGGGACCACCTTAGAGGCTGGCTACCACACTTCCAATTTGGACTCTCCTTTCTTTCCGTGTTATTTACTGATCGCTACCTTGCTCTCCTGAGTGCCAGAATGATTATCCAACTGCCGGGGCACCTCCCCTGAAATGCCCCATAGGCATCTCTACGTGACTTGTTCCTTGTTCTCCTTGGGTGTGCCCTGAGCCTCATGTCTACCTTCATTTTGACATGCAGCATCTTGCACCGCATATATTGGACTCCTCCATTACGCTATAAACTTATTGAGGGTAGGAACTGTGCTTTCATTATTTTGCTGTTCACAGTACTTAACATGGCGCCCAGCATGGCATATTTGGGCCCAGGTGGCAGCCTGGGTGGTAGGTGGACACCTGGAAGCAGAAGGGCACCTGGATCTTTGCAGCCGTCAGTCCTGTGCTGTGTGTCAGAGCTGATCCAGTAGGAAGGGGCTTTACACTAACTTTGGGCCCGAGGCCTATGGTCTCCTTTTGTTGCTGGTAGAAATGTCTTTGTGGCTTTGTGCCCAGCTCTGCCTCCCCATCCAGATGAGCCTGCAGGCTGCCTGCCCTGCCCACACCTTCTCCCACAACGTGGGTTCTGAAGCCTGCTTGAACCTATGGGTCTGTCTGTTTCTGTTGTACCTGAGGGTCTGGGGACAGCTGGACGGACAGGACTGGGCTCCTGGTGAGTGGTTTGTGTGCCATTCTGCAGACTATCACTGAGACGAGTCTGGCACTGTGCCCCAGGTTCCCGCTCACCACGTGCTCAGAGTGGAGGAGGCCTTTTCTCACCACCACCTTTCTTAATCTTAGAACTGTACATGTCAGGAATCTTTGAGTTTTTCAAATAGAATCAGCAGTGCCTGAGACCCAACCGACTGCCTACTCTCACCCTCACATTCAGCTGCAGCTTTCATGACAGAGGGGCTCCTGAGCCACACTCGGGAAAGACAGCCAGGTGAGGTCGAGCGGCACCACCACAGCCCAGGGTAAGGATGGAGTAGCCTAAGCCGAGGCTGCCCAGGTTGGGATCCCTGACCCTGGAATTGCTCACCTTTACTCCTTTTTACTTTTTGTCCTTTTTACCTTTTCTCCTTGTCTCTGTCTGTAGCTCAATCTTTATTTCTTCCCTGATTCTCATAACAAGGCTCTTGGGGCTATCAGAGTCTGTAGGACAACCCAGCTCAGCTCCTCATCTTATCCAAGTGCAGATGGAGTCAGAGTGGGGAACAGACTTGCCCCAGATCACTCAGCTCCTGTTGACCTCTCCCAAGTCCCTCTTTCCCAATCTTCAGCGTTTCTAACTATTCCATGTCTCTCAGTCTCTCCTGTAATCTTTGTTTTCTTTCCCCTTCTCTTCTCTCTTTGGACCCAGGGTGACTGGGTCCTCCAAAATGGGACTAGATTGACAATGTGTCCATTTGGCTTCCTCGCCTCTGTATTTGGGCATCTGGTTTGATCAGCAGGGAAAGGGGAACCAGAGTGGGCAGTGCCAGGCTCAGAGGCCAGTCTAAGCTGCCTGTACCTGCGCTCGATTCTGGCCCACCTGGCTGCCTGCTTCAGGGTAAGGCATAAGTGAGAATAAGGGGAGAGTGAACCTGAGCTGTGGCCCTTGGAAGCTGCTCAACCTCAGGCCCTGGGAGAGAGGGGCCTTGAGTGGGAATGGGGAACCTTGTCTCTGATGAGGCCTGACCAGTCATTCCACAGTTTACCTGCAACAGGCCAGAGCTGCTTTTCCTTGCAAGTAGGGCAGTTTTCTTGCAAACCACCTTGAAGAAAGTTTAGGCAAGCAAGGCTTGCTGAGAACTGTTATAGGCCGGAGAGGGGACAGCCGCAGACTTGCTAAGAGATGGGAACCGCTTCCCAGCAGTGCTATAACTCTGGCTTCCAGCAGAGGGTGCTCGGTCTTTACAAAAGGCGAGTCCTCTTTCCTGTTGCCCTCCCGGCCAAGGGGACCAGTTCTCCTGACACTTGATGCTCTCAGATTTGGGGAGGGGGTCCCCCAGGGGTCATGACTGTGTTTACAATTTGCTTTCTTGTTTAAGAAAGATAGAACAATCAGAAGTGGAAACCCATCTGATACCTTTGAAATGAAAAGCTGTAAATATGACCTTGCAGAAAGGACAGTGTGGAAGAGACTGAGGGAGCAGAGTGAAACAGCTAGGATTAAAAAGGCGAGGTCTATGCCCTGCAAAGGATGTTTTGGAAATATGATTATCAGAAGAGACACAAATTAGGAAACCAAAGCTGTCCCTCCCAAAGCAGGGCACCTTGTCACCTTCATTATGACGCTGATACAGGCTGATATTGAATCTGAAATTTCTCCACAATTCGTGAGCAGACTCATCCACTTATCACTTATAGATACCAACCCCTAACTGGGAACTGGGTTATGCAAAGGTTGCTAACGAACGAGGGGAGATGGAGTGGGTACAGCAGATGTTGCTTAGTAACTAGGAGTCCCTTGGTGTTGGAGTGGCCAGAGCAAGTCTGGAATTGATGAGGGTCTCTGGACAAAGTTAGCCCACACCTGAGCCTCCTAAAAGTGCTTGTCTGTTGGTCTCTTGACCCAGAGCTGCAAGAGCCTAGCTCTTTAGTTATCCGATATTGTCCCTTATGAAAAGTACACCCTAAGACTCTTGAGTGTCCTCTACGAGTCCTTGCTCCAACCATTCCTTCTCCACCTCCCTCCATAGGAATCTGATCAGATTCCTGGTCTCAGGACCAGGCAGGATTCCCGAGCAAGCAAGTGGGAGCAATCTCACACTGGGGAGACTGGAGGATCTAGCCTCACAGTGATGTGGAGCTGGGAGATGTGTGGTTCAGGTGAAGGAGGTCCCCTAGATAAGCATCTCTGACATAGTTTCATTTCACAGGAAGTGTCTTCATCTCTGAGTCTCCCATGCCAGGCAGGTCCTCATCCTGCCTTCATACCTCTGTATATCTACAGGGGCACACCCCACACACATTCTTCCTGAAGGTGTCCTGGGGGCTGGGTCTCCATACTGCTCCTGGCTTGGGGCTGCTATGGCTAGCCAAGGCCCCTTCTTAGCCTCCTTTCAAATGGCTTCACTTCAGCACAACCTAGCAAAGACATAGTGCAACTATTTGGAGCCCCAGTTGGCATTCTCAGTCACGAATGCCCTGTTCTCTGCGCTCCAGGCCCAGAGGTGTCCCTGCTCTCTCTCAACACCCGGGACAGTCACACCTCTCCATTCCATCTCTCAGTCTGTCCCCGAGACTGGAGCACCTGTCCCACGGCTTTTCCTATCAGACCTTCCTCCATTTCCCAGGCCCTAGCCATCTGCTGCTCTGACAGTGGTCACTATCCTAACCCGTCAAGGACGAACTGTGCACCCCTGTACTCCACTGGCCTTGCTGAGTGTGCCTTGTCTCAGGGCTCTGGGGCCCCAGAGAGGGAGTACCCTGGGTGCCAGTCAGGAGACTGGAGACACGGTGAGATGCTGCTGGGAGCCGGCTGAAGGGTTGATGTGCGGCTCCAGGGAGCTACCTCCACTGGGACTCACCACCCCCAACTTCTATTGTAAATACAGGGGGGAGGTCTGACCACACCGACTTTCACCCTTAGTGTACCCTGTTGTTTGTGTGATTTTAACACGAGTTCTTATACTCTTCTTTCTGCTTTCTTTTCTCTTCCCATCCCTTTTGCATTTATTCATTCAGCAAATATTTAGTGGGGGCTTGCCATGTGCCTGGCATGTTCCAGGCTCTGGGAACAGAGCCCTGGGTATAAGTCTCTGCTCTTTGCAAGACTCACACATCCTAAGATCTCTACTCTCTGTCAACAATTGGTGTCTTACACCCTTCTGTGGAACTTATATTGTTGGTGGTGCTCCTGTTTGGTGACCTGTACTTGCTCCTGAGATTCTCTGCCTTCCTACACCAGGGCTCCTCACGGTCCCTCAAATGAATCTTCTGAACCTGTGAGGCCTGGACCCACCCATCAGCTTCTCATGGGTTCAGGCGCTCTAACCCGATATGGGTCCACTTAACCATCCTGCCCCCTGGTGAAAGGGTCTAGGAGAGCCCTTGCAAAATGCCTTGAGGTCCACTGTGGTCAGGTGGCTCAGTATCAGGTCAGAGCATCATCCCTTAGACCAAAAGGTTGCACTTTTGATCTTTGGTCAGTAGGCTTACAGGAGGCAACCAATGCATTTTTCAATCTCACATTAATATTTTACTCTCTAACAATTAATTAAAAAATATATATATATATATCTGGGTGAGCATTAAAATTATGCAAAGGCCATCTTGCCCTTCATAACTTTCGGACAACTCAGTTCCATTCACTCACGTGTTTTGTTCCCTTTTCCCACGACAGACAAGGTGGGCAGATGGAGTCATGTTATTTCTGCCACGTTAGCCTTCCCCTCAGCCCCAAGCAATGGACCAGGGCCTTTCCTTCTGCCCTCCCCAGCTCTCTGTACTCTGTGGACATGCCCTCAGGCTGGTCCCTGCTACTATCTGCCCTTGGCAGGCTGTCCTACCCTCCGTCCTCAGGGGTGACCTGAAACCCGAACTCCCTGTCGCTGCTGCCAGCAGCCTCCAGGCTGTTCCGCTTCCTTAATGCCTCGGCCTGATCATTTGCGACTGGATAGCTGGATTTCATGGTTGCCAGTCTCCTGAGCACCCTGAGGCATGTGCCCTGTGAGTTCATGGGACACTTCTTTCCTCAGAGCCGCTTGAAATCTTCCCTCCTGAACCTGGGCGCTCGGACGGACAGCCAGCCTTGCTCTCTCTGCTTCTCCCTTATCCTCCTTGGACTTGCCTTTGCACACTCACTTCTGCGCCCTCTTTGGAAATCGTCCCCCAGTTATACCTGCCACCATCTCGGAGGCAAGATGGTCACAAAGCGAGTTTAGCATTTACCTGGTGGTCTGCTTTTGCCTGAATGCAGTTTTCGTTTGGTGTCCCGTGAGGGAATTCCTTCTCGCACATCTTGTCCCTTGTGCCAGTCTGACCACCACCCCAGACAGGCCCCCATACTGTCCAGTGGGTTGGAATATCACTCATCCACCCCCTTCCCACTTCCATGTCCTCCATCCCTTCACAAGGCCTCTCCAGCATGTCATCTCTTCAGGCTCACGGTTCCTACTCCAGCTTTGGGGCCGCACACAGCCGTCCTTCCTTCTCTGTTACTCGGGCGGTTTCCCTCAGTAAGGCCCAGACACACACCTTTCCCTTGGCTCACTAGCAGGTGCCTCGTCCCAGCCCATAGTCCACACAACTGACACACATAGACATCAGGGCAGACACCCTGTGTGCTGGGGTGGCTCTGTCTCACGCTTTGCCCCCATTGCTTCATCTTGGGGACTTCATGCTGTCTTCCTGTAGACATCGGAGCCACTTCTCATAGTGTGAGGTGCCCCCTACCCTGGAAGCCTGTCATCGGACGGGCCTCAGCAGCGCTCAGTGGAAGCATTTCCCTGGCACACATCCCAGGGGATGAGTGGGGACAAGAGTGGACAGGCCTGGCCACTTACAGATGTGCAGTCTCATTCCCTGAAGGTGCAAGACACACTTGACCTCCCTAGACACGAGGCTCCACAGGAGGCATCTGCTGCTGCTTTGATCCCTGCCTGCACTCAGGGTGTTATAGACCCCAGTTCAGTCTCTGCATATTTCCTTGGCCGAATCTCTCGTATGTCGCCCCTGTCTCTTAATTCAGCCTGAGCCCAGATCCCGGGGGTGGTCACAGACAGGATCAGCATGTGCTCCCAGCTCACGGAATGACAAATCTCTGTCATATCTCCCACTACATGCTGACCACAGGAAACCTTAGAGCCCGAGAGCCTGAAATAAACTGACGCTTGTGCGGGCCCTCACAGCATGCATGCTGGAGCCATGTGGTTGTATAGCGCTCAGGCCTTAACACATGCTGGAAAGTGGGGGCCCCAACCTCACTCTTGCTTTTCCTTATTTTTCAACACTTATTGTTCCTTCTCTAGCTCTTCATGGACAATGTCACTATGACTTTATTTTGTGTTGTCGCATCGTCAGCATGCCTTAGATTCCAATAAAAACACAGACAGAAAGCGGTGACTCTTCCAGAAATCTGTCTAGCTCCCAGTACCTAGGACTTCCACTCCAACTCTTCTTCCACCTTCTTCCACCTTCTGCTGATAACTGAGCTCTGCTCTTAAAAGCCTGAACATTTTCTTCACTCATCCGAACTTGGAGCTGTTCGCATTTTCCGGGCTGTCCTGACAGGCCTGTCCCTTAGCCTGCCTGCCTAGCCAACCATTAGCAAGGCCGAAATACATCTTGGCTGGGTCAGAAGTGGGATCAGTCTCTGCGATCAGCGCACATCTGGGTTTGCACTGACTGTGTCTCTGTTCACTTTCCACAATGTCCCTGCCCTGATTTCAGATCCTGAATGTCAACGTGAAGTCCCCAGCCCTGCTGCTGAGCCAGCTGCTGCCCCACATGGAGAAGAGAGGGTAAGGCTGCAGGGCTGGCTTACAGACTGATGAAAGATGGGGAGACTGAGTCATAGGAATTCAGACCGGAGAGCACAAGGGCCCAGCTGAGAGAGGGGAGGATGGAGGAGGTCTCCCTGGGAGCTCTGCCTCTCCCTACATCCTCTTTGCCTCATCCTGTGTGCAGTACAGCTCCTCATTCTTGTGGCTTCAGGGTGAGGATAATGTTTCAATGGCCCAGACACATTCCACTGGGGTTGACATCACCAGGCCTGAGAAGAGGCTGTGCTTTAGCTTTCTAACCTCGTGGGCTGTTCATCCACGCCCTCACCTATCTGCTTCTGTCACAGCTGGACCATCACATTCACCATTTACAACCTATGACAGCATTTGTCCTCTTTCTATCCACACGGAGAAGCATCCGGGACTCCTCCTCATTCCCTTATTCTTGGTCTTCAGTGTCCTGCCCTGTTCTAGGTCCTGCATATCTGACTGCGTGTCTCATGACAGGGACTTGGGCCACCCTCCGGAGATCCCTGCCTCTCTGGCTGCTCCTTGCAGATACGCTCTTTGGGAACTGGCTGGATCTGTCCTACAGAGAAGGAAAAGCTCTTGACTGCCATTTCTTGTCTTCTCCTGGCCTGTTTGCTTCTCTGAGGTGGCGCTTTGATAGGCAACCTGAATGGCCCTGGTGCCACTTCAAGCGTCCCCTCTGCCCCCTTCTCACGTACCTGACTCTCTGCCCGTCTCTCCCTCTGGGAGAGGCAGAAGAGTATAACTCTTCTGAGCATGCACATAGGGTCAGAGAGATAGGCTTAGCATCCCAGCTCTGCCACTTATTGGCTGTATTACGGAACTTCTCGGAGCCTCGGTTTCTTCCGCTGTTAAATGTGGGTAATAGTAGGACTTGAGTGAGGATTGCATGAGTCAAGGACTGACTGATAGCCCCTAAAGCCATGCTGACTGATTGTCTTCTTCTCTCCTCTGTGCCTGCCTGTGTCCTATCAGGAGGGGCGTGGTCATCCTAGTCTCCTCCATTGCAGCTTATCAGCCACAGTGGGTGAGTGCCGGCGGGAGGGGGGCGAGTGGTTCCCTAGAGTCCCACAGGGTCAGTACCTGGAACTTACCCGCTCTTACTCCTGCTGCTCTCTTCTGAATTAATGCCCACGTGGCTGCTGCGTCCCTCAACGAATGTCTGTTCTCAAACCAGGGTGGCGAGTGTGCCTGAGGTTTTGGTTAATACCAGGTGTGGTGCTCTGTAGGTGAGAGATGCAACTGATGTGCTGCTTTCCCCCACATCCCCATATCCTCCTAATCACTCTTACACCCTTCTCAGGATGCAGGTGCCTACACTGTCAGTAACACAGCCCTGCTGGGCCTCACCAGGACACTGTCGATGGAGCTGGCCCCCAAGGGCATCCGGGTGAACTGCCTGGTACCGGGAGTAATTGAGACTCACTTCAGCCAAATGGTGAGCACTGGGGCGTGTCGTCTGTTCCTGAGCCTGGCTCAGTGGAAACCCTTTTCAATGAGTAAGGAGACAGGGGATTAGGGTCTTCACTGTCTTCTGAAAGCAGCCATGGCCCAGTCCATCAACATCCCAAACGGCAAACCTGCTATTTGCCTTAGTTGGGGTCCTGCCATCCCTTTGTTTTCTCAGCACTGATGGTTTGATCTCTTTGCTTTGCCCAGTTGTTTAAGGGCAAGACTTGGTGGGATTCCTGGCAGACTATAATGCAGATACAGAGGCAAGTGGAATTTAGAGCTACAGCGGTGTGGGTGCAGTTGGGGTGGGGTGTCTGAGCGTTTCTGCAGAGCAGACCCCTCCTTGTCTGTTGGCCATTCCCTTTGCTGAGAGCCTTGGAGGTGGAAGTAGCCCTGGCGAATCCACCATGAACATCATTCCTCCTTGGGGTCTGTGAGTCCCAGACGTAGAGTCTGAGATCACTGATGCTGTGCTCTGTCCTGTCTCCTTCCCTGTAGGATCGGGCAGCCGGAGGACTGTTCAGGACTTGTGTCCTTCCTGTGCTCTCCAGACGCAAGCTGCATCACAGGCGAGAACATTGTTGTGTCCGGCTGTTCCACTCACCTCTGATGGAGCCTGAGGGCCACGATCTGAGGGTCTGCACCTGGGAGACTGTGGGTGGGTAGGTTAGGGAGTTGATCTTCAAGGTCTGGGGACATAATCCAAACTCTCCTCAGCCTGGCATGAGTATGCAGGCTTGCTCATGCCAGGCTGAGGAGAACCCCTCAGTATCCTGATCCCTGGGACTCTCTACGTGCCTGTAGCAGATCTGGCTGCTGTGACCCCACTAACATATAGGTTTTTGGCGTGGGGCTGTGGAGCTGAAGGAGTTCATAGGGCTGGCGCTTTGGATGAACCATCAGATACAGGAATAAAGGCTCAGGCCACTGAAGGATGCTGACTCCTCTCTGTTCTTTACACTTTATACATTTTTTTCCTTTAATTAAAGTCCAATGTGTGTTCAACTCTGGAAACTCCTAGGCCAAGGGCAGCCCGGCTGAAGACAGACCGCTCCCATCTCTTGCCTCCTGTTGCTGGCCTGAGCCCATTGCAGACCCCTCTCACAGTGGTGAGGAGTGAGTGCTCACAGGAGGCACTGGACTCCATTGTCTGAGCTGCGGCTGAGGGAGAATGAGCATGCCTAGTGGGAGCGGAGGCAGGAGGGGGAGGGAATCTGGGTTCTTCCTGGGGTTGTAGAGACCCCAGGGATTGTTAATTATTTCTATGTTACATGGGCTTTTGATCACCTGGAGACAAAAGTCACACCAAATCTTGTGTGTGATTGCAGGCTGAGAACTTTTCACTTAGGCAGAAGGAGTTGTCGGTACCGATGTTTCTCTTGGTGCTGACTCCTCTGGGTGAAGGCCCTTTCTATTGTCCTGAGTCATCTTGGGGGGCTCTGTCGCTCTGTGTGGACATGTCTGTGGCTCAGCAGAGTTGAGGGAAATCAGTGGCCTTCAAGTCACTTAGGACTCTGCAGACGCGTTTCCTCCTCTCTGGCTGTCCATATGCCTTACCCTGAATGGATCCCAAGGGAGGACCTGCGACACGGCTTTCAACCTGACCACCAACTTTCAGCTCACTGAGGACCCTGAGCAGTGCCATCCCTGCAGACCTCCCAGGGATGGGTCCTTGCCGTGAGAATAATTCAATTACAAAACCACATTGCTTTCTACTGCATACCATGTATTTGGCCAGACAACATGAACAGAAATATAAATAAGACCCAACCTCCCTCAAGTTTCTCCATTGTGGTGGGAAAGAAGTGGGTAAAACACTTATCAATAAAGGAAGCATAATGTGTTCATTTATTCAATAAACTTATTGGTATCACCTAATGGTATGCACTGTATAGGATATTCTGATACAACCATGTACAAAACAAAGATTACTACCCTACACAGATCTGGTGTTCTAGTGGGGGATGCATACAATAAACAACAATCCTGTTATAAATAAACTATATAATGTGTTGGTAGGTACATAGGTTCAGAAGGAAAGATTGTAGAGTGTGGTACAATATTGCACTCAACTCTTTTGCGTGGGTTTCGTTAGGGTGGCTGATGCCTCGGGCCATGAATTTCCAAAGAGAAGAAAGTGCAGAGAGCAAGGTTTTTCCTCACTTTCCAAGATGGGAAAGAGGCTGATATGAAGTGATACACCAGCAATGAAAAGTTGGGGCTGTGAGTTTTTATTGGGTGGTAAATGGGGTGGGGGGAGGAGCTGGGTAGTCATGAAAATTAGTTGTAAATTAGGAGGTTTCTGGCTAATGGTGCAGGTTTCAGTTTGTTCTGATGTTATCTTTGAGTTCAGGGTCCTGGCGCTCTGGTCTGGCTTGTCTTTTCTCATGTAATTTTTAAAACACCTATGCAGCAGATGCTTTTAGTAATCTCTCCAGTCCTGAGAACAGAGGCTCAGAAAAACAACAGTTAATTATGCCTGACTGTCTCAAGGAAGAAATAGCTAGCTAGCTCTAGTAAAGAGGGTCTGAAAGGGTTTTTGTTTTGTTTTGTTTTGTTTTGTTTTTTGGTCTTTTCAGGTACTTTTCCCTGTCCGAACAATTTTCTGACACCAGCTGTGTGTCCTACTCTCTGCTGGATGCAGTGTCAGCTCAATCATGATACTCTTTACTGGAAGGCAGGGTCAGATTCCACATTTTAAAGGCTCAATCCTATGGGACTACCTCTGCAAGGTCCAGACTGTTTCAATTTCCCTTCTCTTCCCCCATAGTCTTTTCCAGGCCAAATTTCCAGCCAGAGATTGTGGATGGTGAATAATTGAACACAAGTGCTTCCTTGGGATAAATAACCTCAGTATTTACTTGGTTCCCAACAGCCTTTGGATGGTACAGAGAAGTTTTCACCTGAGCTGATAGTGAAAAATAATAACAACCAAAAAAAAAGTCCCCAAGTTTGGCACATGGGAGAGTTTCTATTGGCTCAGGGGTATTTGAGTGCCGGGAAGATGTTGTGGGGAAATAGGAAATGGGGTCCTGTTAGTGAGGGAGGCCATGAGTGGGGGTAATTGGTTTACAGCTACTTCAGTTGTGGGTGGGTGATCAGCAGTTGGGACTTGGCGTATCCAACTGCACCTGGGAGCATTTTGTCTATATTTGTACATTTCAAGTTGTCCCCTTCATCTCTGATTCCTGGAAAAAAGTATCAGGGTAATGGGGGATTCCAGGCCACCCAGGGATGGCCACAGGTGAGGATAATTACGAACTGGGGTGATGACATTGGAATCTGAGGGTTCTCTGTCTCATGACCATTTTGGGTTCTCAACATTGTTTGAATGTAGTGACCTCAGGAATAAAAATGGGCAAAAGCTCTAGCCCCGGCCCAGTTTTTCTTTTTCCTTCTTTTTTTTGTTCCAGACCACTATGGTGATGGGTCCCTTGTCCAAGCACAGTACAGTACAGTATTAATTTCTGCATTAAATCTCTGGCTGCCTCTGCTGAGCTCTCACTTGAGGGGCTGGACTCAGAGGCAAGAGGGCAGCTTGAGGGGCAGTGTCATGGTGGAGGGTGCTGGTGCTGCATTGGAGCAGTAGGGGTGGTCCCAGGATGGCCTGAAGCAGTGTAGTTGGGCTGAAGAGTCAAAGGTGAAGTTTCACGAAGGCTGGGTTCTGTGGGGTGGGGTGAAGACAAAAATGGGTGAATGCCTAAAGCTGTGTTTATTCACTACTGCTTTCACCAGTGAAGATCATGGGTCAGATTTTACCAAGAAGATGGAAGGCCATCCTATCTAAAGCAAATTAAATGCTGGAGTCAACATTAGTTGGTTATCAGAATAAAATGAAAGATTGAGAATAGAATGGAAATGGAGGAAGGGAGTAAACAGAACTAAGCCCACAGGCCACTAGGGTGCCCTCAGGCCCCCTTACATGTAGGCTGGGGCTCTGTGTGGAGGCAGGTGAAGGGACTGAAAGAGCTGTGTGGGGCAGGACCGTTGTGTGCCCTGGGTAATTGGACTCATGGTTATAGTTTCTGTCCCTTTAGCCCTTAAAGACCAAAAGATGCTGCCCCTGTGCAGGAAGGGTTCTTACAAGCTTAGGGAGTAAAATGGTCCCTTTGCTGATCATTTATCAGCAAACCTTGATGTTTTCTAATTTCTACCCGCTCCAGATAAATTAATTTGTGTTCATATATGCAACTTGTAAGAAGCAAGGCTGAGATTTGAATCCAGATTGGTCTCTCAATCACCTTCCATGATAAAGTGATAGCTGAGGCTTTATCAGCCCATTTCTCTCTGGAAAGTCTGTCTTAGTTTGGTTTCTCTTGAAAGTAGAGCCTAAGACAAGAGCTTTCGGACAGGAGATGAGAGGGAGCAGAAGCAAGGGTGTGAGCAGGGAAGCAGGGGAAGCCGATATAGGGGTGCGTAGGAAGGGCTCCAGTACGTACAACAGGCTCCATTTAGAATCTCCCAAGTTGAGTATGGAATGCCTCTCAGATTTAAAGTGTTCCCACTAAGGGTGGCAGGTGGAGAATTTATCCATATCCTCTCATCTCCTGTCTTTCCAGGGTGCCCCTGGGGAAGATTAATTCCCCCTCACACCCTGTCCACAGTGCAGAGAGTCAAAGCTCACAGTGAAGGTCTCAGCCCAGCCAGGTCAGAAATCAGTATGAAGGCAAGAGGCTGTGAGTCAGGGCACCAAAAGTTTCCACTACAAGGTCTTTAGGAAGTAACAGTCTTTGATCTCAGATATGTTTAGGGGATAAAACACTCAACTAATTTCTCCTGTGAGGCCCCTGGGAAAAACACAGTCTCTTCTCTTCCCCAAATAACAATTAGTCCACTTGCCCCTTCAGAAATTTTCACTGGAGGCTTTCAAGACACCAGATCTCAAATCTCCAGTTAACGGTGTGAGTGGTCCACATGACTGTCCCATGGCCTTCCCAGAAGCAACCAGAGAATTGAAAGGATGAGAAGACAGGAATGGAAGATCAGAGGGAACTCTTAACAAAGAAATCACATGTAAAAAAAAAGAGCTAGGGTCTTTCAACAACTGAATGTTCTACTTGTGAAAAAATAGGACACCCTGGGGGCGGGGGCAGCATGGCGTCTTTTAACAAGACCTGTAGGCGATTCAGATACACGCTGGACAGGAGCTCCTCCAGGTGTTCCGGGTTTGATGTGAAGGATCCAGGAAAGACAGAACTGAGGCTACAAAGGGGACTGGCGTGTGGAAGTGAAGTCGGAAGGTGGAAGGCGGTGGGCTACAGAGTCCAAGTGGAGTTGTTGATCTTCGACTGGAGCAACTTCTTCCACAGTTAACAGAAGAGAAGGCAGGGCATGAAGGTAAGAGGTGGGGTAGGTGGTGGAGGCGGCGTCAGGAGGGGAATTAGGAATTAGGGAATTTCTTGGGGAAGTGAAAAGTGCGGTCCCCGGCTGAGAGGGAGCATCACTGCAAGGATGGACTGAAGGGGAGAAGGGATGGCATAGCTATTTCAAAGGGGTGGAAATGCATTTACCAAGGAAATGTGGTCGGGTCACATTTCCCTTGGTAAAATAAGCATCAGTACTGCAACCCCATCTGCTACTTATGCCATCAAAGTTGGAGCAGTAAGAACA